CTGCGCCCCTTGCGAAGCTCAGTTTCTTGCCGGGAGGGCGGCGCGCTCCCTGGGCCGGCCGGCAGCCCGGGCTCTTGGGCAAGGCGTCGCCGCCCCACTTCCGTTTCCCGGTGGCCGCAGAGAGGCGCCCCTCCCCCGCTCTCGGACCTCAGAATGCCAGGGCGCCCCCCGACGGCGCGGGGCCCAGTTGCGCGCCCACAGCATGGAGACCCTGGACCTGAGGGCCGCCCCTGGGTGAGGCCGCCCAGCGGGGTCGCTCTTCACCAGCGCCCTGTGCCTCACTCCGCAGCCTCGGGGTAAAGCAGGTGCAGACTGGGGTGACAACGCTTTGGAAGCGAGACCCCGACTTGCCCAGGAGGGGGGGCACTCCAGCCCCGCTCTGCCTCCCCTCTCCGCACCTCAGAGGCGCCCCAGCCCCCCAGTCTGGCCCCCAGCCCTGGCCACCCCCACTCACCCCACATGCTGCAGACCGCCCAGGCGCACAGATGCCCACTGCCAGCGCTCGGGGTCTGAGCCCAGCAGGCGGGCAGGGGCATCCCGGGGATGCCCCACTTCGGTGACTGCGCTGGGGAGTCCCGGGTGGGAGCCCCTTCCGCAGTGGGCTCGGTGACACCAACTGACCTCGGGGGTGACCTCTGTGGGTCACCCACCCCCTCGGGCCTTGCCAGGCTCCTGCTAGACCTTCCCAGCCTGTGACCCACGCACCCCTCCCTCCCCACTTGGGGTCCCCCGCGGCCCTGCCACCCCCGCTGGCCCCTCAGGCCTGCCCTCTGGGGCTAAAGGTCTGAGCTGCAGGTGGGGCTGCGCAGCTGTGGGGCGCCCCAGGAGACAAGGTGAGGGGCCCCCTTGAGCGACGCGGCCAGGAGGACACCCCCCCCCCGTGGGGCTGCGCCCACCCACAGCGACGCCCTGCAGGCCCCACCCCAGGCCGCGTGAGCAGTGGGGGCCGGTCGCCCCATCAGAGTGGGGTCTGTGACTCAGCACCCCTGGTCCAGGCTTTGGGCCAACCCAGAGTGGCCACCCAGAGCCGTCCCTCCCAACCTGCCCCAATCCCCGCAGGGCCCCGGGGCCGTGTAGCCCCACCCTCCTCCAGCAGTTTAGCATGGACACAGCTTAGGGGCTCCCCAGCGGACACTGCGGAGAGCCGCCCGAGGCTGGGGCGCTGGGCTGCATGCAAAGTCCATGCAAAGCAGGCCCCTCGCCCACCCCCGCGCCCTGCTCAGCGCCACAGGTGCCCAGCGGCTGTCCAGGCGCCTCGCCCCTTCTCGGTGCTTCTGTTTGCTGACCTGCGTGCTGCGTGGGCGGCTCTGGCGCGGCGGCCGCCCTGTCCCGCCCAGCGTGACCCGCAGCGCACCGCCCTGGCAGTGCCACGCGCCTGCGGCCGCCTCCGCCCAGCCCTGTCCCTGTCTTTCTTTCATAAAGGTCTGTTTGTGTATGCAGAGCTGGGGTGCAGGCCAGAGTGCGGGGCTCAGAGGCTCCACCAGAGACCGAGGGGGAGCAGGACAGGCCCACGGAGGAAGCGGGGAGACAGGAGGGGTCTGCCACCCTGGAGCCGCCTCCGGGCCGGGGACCCAACGCCGCAGCCTGACCTTGGCGCCCTAGGGAGGC